GGTCCTCCCCGGCCCTGGGGCTGGAGGAGGCGGTGCGGGCGCCCTAGAGAGGCGTAGGGGAGAGCGCATCTTCAGGCGGTGTCTTGTGCCTCCTCCTCGGTGGAGGAGTGGGGGAGCCCCTCGCTGAAGCCTGTAGCCCCCTCACCCCGGCTCCTACCTGATGTCGTGCGGTTTGTTGCTCGCTGGGGTCGGGCGCGGGGCTGGGCTTGTCCTGCGCTGAAGTGCTGCCGGGCCCGTTGGAGGGTGGCTGGGGGTCTGGTCTGGTCTGCGGGCTGTGAGCCCCCCGCCGTCCACGGCTCTAGAGGGAGCGCTGGAGTAGTTGATTGGTGCAGGATACTGGTAGTGCCTTTATATAACGGTTCAGTTACACGGAGGAGTTTGCTCCAGGTAAGAGCGCTTGCAGTCTGTGAAGCGTTGCGTTCAGGAGCGCTGTGGTGGATCACGCCCTTGGCCTTTAGGCAGAAATTTCTGTGTCCTGCAGAAGTCGATGGCTGTATGTTCTCATGGTGATATCAATGCCTGGGCTTGGCCACTCAATGCAGTATGTTTTTAGGTTGTGTCTGGTTACCTGTGGGACAGAGAAGGGTAAGAATGCTCCTTCTTTCTGTAAGTTGTCCTCATGGCTTCAGAAGAAGTATCTGTAGGTGGGAGCCTAGTATTCATCAGCAGTACGTCCATAATAATTATAATAGCTGGTGTCAAGTAGGGAAGGATTTTTAGCTGGGCCAAAGACATTAGAGTGAGTTGATATGAAAATATGAAATAATACCCACGTGGTTCAAGTGTGTCTTGTGTTTCTGATTATTTCTCTTATTTTATTTTATTTTTTTTTAGATTTCTGGTTTGTTTAATAACCTGCCATACTGTAAGTGACCATCCAAGGGAGAGTGTAGCCTAGCATAGATAGCTTTTTATTGCAGTATTTTTTTTTTTGTTATAACTTATGATTTTCTCTCTCACGTGCTCGCTCTCGCTCTCTCTCTCTTTCTCTCTCTCTCTTTTTTTTTTTTTTTAAGAGTTTTAGTAGCTGTGTTAGTATAACGTGGAATTCTTTTATTGAGATTCTTAATGGAATAATCAATGCACTGTCATGTGGTTTTCCTAGGAGTACTGAGAGAGAGATTCATTGTTGCTCTTTCATAAAATTTATATATTGTATTCAGCATTTAAACTTCAGTTTGATTTGTGCAGAGAAAAAATAAGTTAGCCATTAGTTCTCAAGAGTCATAGTACCTATTTATTTTCTCTCCTTCTGCAACTATTGCAAAGTAAAACATGAAGGAACAAAAGATGTCCCGGGTTTTCTTCTAAGGAGGGTATGTTGAAGCAATTACAGTACAACAACCTGGTAACACTAAAAAGGTTGTCGATGTAAGTATGTTGCTTGTTAGTATATGCACTTATGCAGGTTTTTGTTAGTGCTGAAGTGCTATATACATTTCTCCTTCCAGATCTTTTAAGGAGAAATTGGTGGAGGTTGGATACTGATCTTTTATTAAAAAAAGGTTGATTTAACTTGGAGAAGGTGAATTAGACGTTTAACACTTCCAGTGCAGCTCTGATATCTATACAAGGGTACACCAGGTTTGACAATTCATAGAAATGCTTTGATAAGCATATTGGAAGTGCCGAAGGAATAGCAGCTGTCTTCTGACTTCTCTTTGGTTGTAGCAGGTTAGTGTTTCTAGAATTTACCATAGAATTCAAAATAATTAATTGATCGTAAATAAACTTGATATTTGCTACTGTAACAAAGGTTATGATAGCTTACACTAGAGTTTGGCTCTATACTTATGAAATAAGTTAGCTAGTATGGTTCAGTTTAAAGAAGGCAAAATACTAATTGTATGACTAAAAAAACAAGTCTTGCTTAACAACTAGTTTTAATCGTGTAATACATTGTTCTTATTTTGATGTCTGTAGTGTAACAAAGAATTCCCTGGAGGATCCTAGTGCTGATTAAAAATGAAACAGTTTTCTGTATCTTTTTAGAGTATTCTGTCATTTGGCAAGTCAGAGCACTGAAGATTACAGTAACAGTAAAGTAGCTCTAACTGGGACATTTGAACCCTGTGCTGCTGCTGTTTTAGTCTGTACTGAACTGACTCCTCTGTTGCTCAGAACTGGCATTTCATATGTGCTGTCAAAGCATTTTATAAATTATGCTTTGGTACATATATAGTGGTGTTTATTTCTATTTCATGCTTTCAAAGGCAACATTGTTTTTGCTATTTTGTATACACAGCGAGCTAACTGCTTCAATTTTGAGAAGTTGCGAGAAACTAAGAGCTTCATTTCCTTGCTCTTGTAACTCTAAATTAATTTTTCTCTTTAAAATTTCTTAGACCTCTTTTAGTTTTGGGAGAGGATTTATCTTTGGCTCTTTATAATCTTCTGAGTAAGCTGCAGTGCATTTTGTAAGATTTTCTCAGGATCAACACTTTATGAGAAACATCTGCCAAGGTGCAACTTTCATTAGTGTGCAATCTTAGTTGAATACAGCAGCTACAGCTTGTATTTTTTCATAGAGATTTGACACTTTTTATAACGACTATATGTGTGTTTGGACGGTTTTCCCCTGAAGCTCCCATTTCAGTTTTGAATACATAGTGTAAAAATGTTTTTGTAGGCAGTGGATAGCTTCGTGAGATGGTAATCAAAATAGTTTCCTACTCTATCTTCTGAGTCCAAATACAGTTTCTGAGATCTTTGCCACACTTCTTCCAGCTTAATGAATTCTTTTCCTCACGTATGGTTTATCCAGTTTACTATTTGAGCAATTTGTTCATAGTTATCTTTTTTGAGATTTTTATTAGGATGAATAGTTTTTTTTTTTTTTTTGTGGTAGAGTGTTACATGTAAAGATGACAAAATGAATTTCTGCCTATTTGTGACTGATAAGAAAATCTGAACTTTTTTTTTTGCAAAATCTTCCTAGATTAAAATCTCTGTGGATTTTATTTCTGGAAGTATCAAGAATTTGAAAATTTGTCTTCCGACTTTGAAATTGGCCCTTCTGTGGACTGTGAACTTTCTTGGCTTTTGTGAAAAGCTTTAAATGAGCAGTCATCTTTCTAGATGCTTGTCCAGGTTCGAAATTAAACAATATTAATGATGGCAAACATAACAGCATGGAACAGTCTGGGTAAAGTTACTTTTCTTAAATGAGTTTCACTTCATTGCCATCCCTGATGTTTAATTTGCAGATCTGTGACAGCCTGTTTAGTCTCTCAGAAAAGGCAAGATCTATAAAAGCTGAATTTTCTACTAAAAACGCTTTATTGCCAAACTCTCACCTCTCCGTTTTCTCAGGGGAAAAAATATCATAAAAAAAGGGGGGGGGGGAAACACTTTCCAGGCTTCCTTTATGCTTCATAAAAGAGCAGAAGCTTACAATCCACTTTCTAGTGTCCTTTTTTTACATCAAGCTCAACGGTTTTGGTTATATAAGGGTATCTATGCTATAAAGTCATTGAATGTTTTATCATGCATGAAACAGATTAGATGATTTCATAATCACATCTAGCCTTGAAATCTATGGAAAAACAAACATGAAATATATTTCTTCTCCTTTCACACATAACCTTTTAATAGTTAGAAATCTTCTAACCCATTCAAGATATAAAGTGTACAGGCCTCCCTATTTTTAAATGCTTTCTGTGCCATCATGTATGTTGATGCATTACTTGTTTTGCTGAGAATAGCCAGAATTAACAGCATTTGGTTCCATTTCTCTCAGGCATGGACTAAAGCATTAACATGAAATTAAAGTTATAATTTAAAGGCCTTTAAAACCTGTTTATTTGTATAGGAAGCTATGCTTATGAGATGTAATGAAATTTATATGAATGTTTATAGAATCACACTCTGCATTTCAGACTTTCCGTAGGACACTTTCAGATTGCTGTTTTGCAGTAGTTTAAGCTGATGTAAGTTGGGCCTGCCCTCTCTACCCACTTGCACAGTCCTGTTTCCTCTCCTGCACTGGCAGTAGCTCTCCTGCAGTTGTTCTGGTAGTGGTAGTCTTAAGCTGGTGCAGTGCCTTGAACCACTGTGCTGTGCTGGCACAAGAGAAGGCGTAGGGCATTGGAAGCTCAGATGTAGTTTCACAGCAGCTTAAAAAGATCTGCAGCCTTAGAATATAGAAGCCTGCACCTGATTTTCCTAATATTTATTGGTAAAACTTCACAGTTAAGTTTTTAACTTGTTGGGTACAAAAATACTTATTCCCCTTTTCCTATGCCTCTGAAGAAACTAGCTGGAATCTTCTTAAACTCTGAGAAGGAATAGGAGACTAGAGTGACAATGCATGATTGTACTTTAGGGAATTCAGCTAGGAAGCCAATGAGCATTTGGTAGGAGTGTACTTGGTACACAGCTCTCTGTGCTGATGTAATGTCTTGGTGGTTTGAAAAATCTTGCTGCTCATTTTGTGGGGGATTCTGTATGTTAGATCTGCCCAAGAACAAATTTCAGGGTGAAAATTGTTGATCCCTGACTGACGTTGGCTCAGTGTTACACTGGGAGGTGGAGTCAAGAAAGTGTAAAGATCTATTGTTTTCCATTTCTGGATTTGTAAGGTATCATATTAGTTACAGAGTGTTGTAATGATGAGAAATAAGTTATTTGCTATGGAACTGCATCTCACAATTATTTCTTTTTAGTTTTGTTCCTTTTCCTCTTTAGAGGATTTTTACAGTTAAAATTTATTTTTTTAACCAAAAAATGCAATCTGATGTATTTTTCTAATAGCTCACAGGAGTCCTAGATGACTGCTTGTGCGACATAGAGAGCATCGATGACTTCAACACTTTCAAGATCTTCCCCAAAATACAGAAACTGCAAGAGCGTGATTACTTCAGATATTACAAGGTACAATTAGAATGGCGTTTTTCTGTATAATTTAAATAAATCCAGAAAATGTAGGGAGGATTACAGATCAAATCACCTTGACTTACATTTAGTTCTCTTTTAGAAGCCCACAGCTGTCTAATTTGGTCTAATTAGCTGATTTTCAGTCCCAGACAGCTATGCTGGCCATAAATCCTGTATTAATCTTAGGGCCAGTGACAGTAAGTCATGACTATTCTCATTCAGCTGAGAAGTGGTAATTTTAAAGGTAATATCTTTGTCCTGCTACATCTGGGAATGGACTGTATTAAAGAGTTTGGTATCAGGCAGCACTTGTCTTCTAACTAATATGCTTAAATTGGTATTTGAAATATTGCAATTTTCTTTTCTTATCAGTTGCTGTCGTTGTTCTGGTTTTAGTGTTTATTCTATAGAGAACCTTTATTACTTTGAAAAAACAAGTATAAATATTAATTTTCAAATAGTATATACTGTTATTCACTAATGATTTGAAACATTGGTCTTTCTCTATATTAAAATTTTATGAGCAAAATAGGACTTTGGAACTTGGTACTTCTGTTCTTTTTCAGATGTGCTTGGCAGGAAATAGAGGTTGCATTTTGAAAGAGCTAATAAAGTGGCTCTCTGCTACTGGAAAGAGGAGGTCTCACTCCTAGGCAGACCGTCCTGTCCCTTCACTTCTTCTACTTCTGGGAGTTGTCTGGCTGTGCAGTAGGCCAGTGCGACTCATTAACCTGGCAGAAATTTTTTTTTTGGTTTTCTTGTTTTTTTTTTTCCAAGTTGTCTGGGTGAGTTGGAGCTGGGCAAGTATCAGAATTCATGAAAGATGGGGTTATATATGAGAGGAGAGAAGATGGTTGCTAGAATCTTCTCTGTCTAGTATGAGCAAGCAGTAACATGTAACTTCACCTTGCATCTCCGCCTGCTATGTGATACAGTCCTAACTTCAGTGTTCAGGAGAAACAAGATATGTGCAACTTCAGTGAAAACATATCACATAGTATTGGTAATTAGATTCTCCAGAGGCACCAAGAAGTTGTAAAACAAGGTATCTGAAGAAGGGGAGTAACAGGTTTACAGGGTTTTATACAAACTATACAATGGCAATTTTATCCTGCAAATTTAGGAGAGGATAACGTTTTCATTTCACAAGCTTATATTCTTGCAGTTCTGCAGATCCTACTTTAATAGTGTCTGTAGCACAATCCTACCTCATCTTTCATAGAGGTTTTTGTCTCACCAACAATACTGTTCATACACTAAAGTATATAAGCGTTCATGCTTAGAATTTGCCCACATTGCAGAGAGCATAGGCTAACACTGAGCGATACTTTTATTCAGGCTGAAATCAGTCCATATTACTGAAAGTCCTTCAGTGGATAAGTGTGTTCTTCCCGTTGGCACAGAACTGAGAAAACAAAATGTGGTGTTCCAACATACAGAGTTGGGAGGATAGCCAGGAATTTTGAGCTTTTTTGCATTACTGACCTTTCTAATTGATGTACAATTACAAGTGCTGCTGTGCAGTCCTCCTCATCCCCACGTGGTAATTATGTACTTTCAATTGTGGCAGGGAAGAATGTGTTGAACAAACAAACTGATTATAGAAACTAGCAAAGTTTTTCCACTCTTT